ACATTTGTATACTCGTTTTGAAACTTTTAAATTACTTCGTTAAAAAAAAGTTTTTTTAATTTATTTCAAATTTCCAAAAACTTTATTCGAATAAAATTATTAATTTTTTTTAATATTTCAAAAATAATTTCAAATTTAAATAATTTGCGATTAAATCTTTTAATTGCACGAAAAAAATAATATACTTTCAATTGTTTTTTTACAATTTTCATATAAAAATCGAAATTACTTTTTTAATATTATTATTAAAAACTTATATAAACTAAAAATATAAAAACTTACGAAAATTCGAATTATTTTTTTTATTTATACAACGTTAATATTTTCGTTCAATATTATTTATTTTATTACATATTTCAATTTTGAAATAAACGAAACAATAATACAAAGTATTTTCATTATAATTTGATTATTAGCGATATTTATATTTTAATTTGATAAAACGTAAAACAAATAAATTTAAATATTAAAAAAATATAAAATAATAAAATTCGATAAAATAAAAAAAAGAATAATAAAAATTTTTTTTAAAAAAAACAATAAATATATTTTATATATATAAAAATTGTAATATAATTACAAAGGCGATTTAATACAATATTATAATCTCGTATTTTATTGTTAATCGTATTCATTGTTTGATATAAAGTTTTTTACGTTTTCAAAGAATTTTCGTTTGAAAGAAAATTGTTTAATTTACGATCGAGGATTTTTGTAATAGTAATTTCGTTAAAAGTATAAATATGAACAAATAATAATAATTTCAAAATTATTATATTTAAACGACGTCGTAAAACGACGTTTATATAATTATATTTTCGATAAATACGAATATTAAACAATTTATATCGATTCTCGAAATTTAAATTTGAATTAATATTAATTATTGTAAATAAATAAATTGTAATCGATTGTAAATATAAAATATAATTAATTTTTTTTTATAATTAAAATAAATTCGTAAAAATTTTAATAATACGAGATAATTCGTAATATTACGTTTTTAGAAATAATTCTATTAAATAATTTGAAACTTATAAATTTAATAAAACGAATTGTATTTTCTACTTTCGAATTAATAATTAATTTATCGATAAACATTTTATCAATTTTAAATTATTAACGAAAAATTCAAAAAATGTAATTAAAAATACTTAAAATATTTATATATTTTAATATTATAAAAAATTGAAAATACGAATTAAAACTATATAAAAAAAGTATTTTTAATTCGAAAAAAATAAAAATAACGTCGATTTTTTTTTTATTTAAAATAATATAAAATTTCGAATATTTTATAGAAAAAAAATTAATAAAAAGAAAATTGATCGAAGTATTTCGATTTTTTATTTTTTTACAAATTAAAATCAATATAGTTATTTTTATATTACTAATATTTATTAGATTGATTAAAAGAAAAAAAAAATAATAAAAACACGTAAACGCAAAATATTTTTATTTATGAAATCGAATTTACTATCGACGATAAAAATCAATTAAATTTTTAATAATTTGCGTTACGATTGTTTTTTCTATTTTTAAATAATTTTTTACTCGCAATACAAAAACAAATTTTATTCGTTTATTTGAATTTATTTATAATATTTAAAAAATATTTTTAAAATTGAAAATTTATTTATTTGAATCGAAAAAAATTAATAACGTATATAAATATAATTCGAAAATTGTAAACTAATTAAAACAAAAATAATAATTCGTACATTTGATTTATACAAAGAAAAAAAATTAAAAAAACAAAAATAAATAACGTATTTTACAAAATCAAATAAAAATTTCTTTTTCGTATATTTAATTTTTCGTAAATATTTTACTCGTTTTTTAAATTCTATTTATTCGCTATATTCTCAATACTACAATTTAAATTTGTATTCAATAAAAACTTTCAAAATAATCTTTTAACGAATTTTCAATCGCTTAAAATATTATCAACGTACAATTTTATTTTTTTTTTTTAATTATTTTTTAAAATCAAATTCATATAATAAAACTATATATCGATTTTATTTCGAGATTTTAATTTCGTTTATATATTTTTTCAATATTAAACGATATTTCGATTGAATTTAATAATTGTATTACTATATATAAAAAACAATTTTTTTTTTATATACATTTTTCGCGAGTATTATTTTAGTAATTTTAATATTTAATAAAATTATTTTTTTAAAGTTTTGAATAAATATAAAATCGTTAATCAATTTTGATTTTAATTTTACAAACTCGTTAAAAATATAATTTAATATATTTTGAAATTTTAAAAAATTTAAAAAAATTTATTAATACTCGTTTTTAGTTTCGATTTTCAAAGTTTTAAATACTATTTATATACGTTAATAATTGAAAAACTCGAAAATTGAAATAATAATAACGTTTAAAAAAAAAGTAACAATAATTAAATAATATTAATTATATTAAATAAACAATTAATACTACGAAAAAAAAATTTAATATTAATTATATAATATTATTATAATAAAGAAAATATTCGAATTATAATTAATTATTAAAAATTTCAATTTTTTATTGTAAATATTAATAATATTAATAATTGAATTAATAATATTTCTATTTTTGTTTATAATAATACTTCGATCGATTTTTTTTTATTAATATTAATATTATTAATTAAAAATAAATAGAATTATTTATTAAATAAAAAAAAAAAAACGTATATTAAAATATTTTTATTTATAGAATTTTAATTAATACTAAAAATTCGATTTATTTTATTTTAAAAAATTATTAATTTTATTTTTGTAAATATTATTAGTATTATTATTGAAAATATCGTTTTAATATTTATTATAAATATCGAAATCGTTTTTAAAATCAAAGTTAAAAAAATTGTTATTGAAAAAATTGTTCTCGAGAAAATTAATTATAATTATTTGAATATTACTAGTTTTTTCGATCGTATTCTTTGTTCTATATAAATTTTTTAAAGTTTTAACGACTTTGATCATTTTGAAAAATCGTTTAATAGTTTTCAAATAAGTAATCTAATAAAAACTCAATAGAATATTAAATAAAAATTGAAAAAAAATAAAAATATAATAATATTCATAGATTTAATTACGATTTTTTGTTCGTTAAATATATTTAAAAATTGAATATATACGAAAAATTCGAAAAAATAAAAAATATTAATTACTACAAATGAAATTGATTTATTTTTCCATGTATTATTAAAATGCGAATACTCGATCAATATTTAAAAAACGAAAAAAAAAAATCGTCAATTTTTATTCAATACGTAATAAATACAATACTAAATACACTATAAACTCTCGAATAATAAACTCGTAATAGCAAATAACAAATTTCATATATAATACTATTAAAATATTTATTACTTTAATTTACTTTAATTACAATAGTAATATATCGCTATAAATATTATTACGTTAAAATCTATATAAATATAAATATTAAAAAATATTACTTTAAAAATAAAAAAAATTTTAAATTCTATATTATTATTTGATTTATATTTCGAAAAAACTATATTTACAATTAATAATCTTTTAATATTTTATTTAAACAAAATTAAATACGTACGTATATTTATTGTAATTATTAAATTACAATTTATAGACTTATAAATATATAAATTAAAAATAAATATAATAAAAAAACGTGAAATTTATATATTAAAAATACAACAAATTATTACAAAATTTATATTTATTTTTTTATTATTACGATTATTTTTATTTGATTTTAAATCGCAAAAATAAAAATTTTATAAAAATATTATTTTTAATCGTAATTAAATAATTTAATATTAAATAATATTTCAAATTAAATACGTAATACAAAAGTTGACAATTTTCGAATATATATTTATATCGATTTATTTGTATTAAAAATTAATCGAAAAACAAATCAAATAATATAATAATTTCTCGAAAATATAATTATTATTTTTTATATTTTATACGTACAAAAAGTTCTAAAAAAAACAATAAAAAAAACTGTAAAAAAAATTTCGATTAAAATCGATAATATTAAAATAGTAATAAATAAAACTATTTTTTTTACTTTGTATGAAAACTTTAAAGTGATTAAAACGCAAAAAAGTGAAAACGTATTACAAAATAGTTTAAAAAAGCAAATCGTAGAAAAACAATTAAATAAAATATTTTTAAAAGAAATAAAAACTCGAAAAAAGACTCGTATTATTTCTGGGTTTAAAAACTTTTATTATAATATTCGAACATTTGAAAAATATATCGAAATAATTTAAAAAAAAAAAAAAATATTAAGATTTTAATATTAATATTTTAAATTTTCGAAGTTATTATCAGTTTTTGAAAAGATATTAATTTTAAGACAATACAACTTTTAAAGCTTTTGTGATTTAAATTTTTAATAAACTCGATTTATATACTTCGTAGATTTTATTTTTAATCTGTGTGCGGGGATGCGATAAGTTGTTACTGAAGATTTGGTCAGAGGCAATACGAGATTCAATACTCACAATGATTTTAACAATAAAGAAGTTAATTCCTGACGAGGATACTTATTCTATTTCCGCGAAGGATATCAAAATGCACGAGAACCTCGTCGCAGCACTACAGGAATTGGAGGGCTTCCACATCATAAAAGCGTCGCAAACAAGACAAAAAAACCAAGAAGTCGCAAAGGTTGCAGAGGTGGCAGAGGTGGCAGAGGTGGTAGAGATGGCAGAGATGGCAGAGGTGGCAGAGGCGGTAAAAGTGGCAAAGGTAATAGAGGCAAAAGTGAGAGAGCTTCCAAGTACAGTCGGAATCACGGGTTTAAAACGCTATCACGAAATAGGGCTACTTTTACCGAGAAAAAAGCGATAGTTTAAACGCACATCGCTAGTCAAGGCACGTTAGTCGAGACATTCCTCACAAATGCAAAAGCTCCCGAAACATATATGTACTCCAAAAATACATGCATATACTCCAAAATAGAGTCCAAAAATGGCAAAAAGAGACTCCCCAGAGTTGAAATGGACATTATGGGAATTGAACCCATGACCTTTCATAGTCATATTAATATTAATATGCGAAACGAAAATCATCTGCCGCAGTTATTAGAAGCGCTCAAAAGACCTAGATTTGAATCCACTCACACCCCTAGACCAAATGCCCGCTTAAATTTTGTGACTTTTGTTAGAAGGGAATAGCTTATTTAAACTTATATTAAGTTTATCATGCTGAAAAAGTCCGAAGGTGTGTGGCTAGCTTTCTGGAGCTAAGTATTTAGCCGATTAGCCGAGCGCGTCCAAAAATCCACTTAGCAAAACCAAAGCTCTTCCAAGCCCCCCAACCTCACGACAATAATCGTCGCACAGCATGTCATTAATGTAATATGGCAGAAGCAGAGTACACCCGGCTACACATCACGCCCTTTACGCCCGCCCTTCTCAACACTTTCCTACCAACCTCCATCTTGCCGAATGCCCGCAATATCTCCTACCACAGCATCCAGACCTTCCCAGACAAAGGCTACGGTTATGTTGAGCTCCCCGCAATGGACGCCGAGAAGATAAAGAAGAAGCTCAACGGTTCAATCCTGAAAGGCACAAAAGTACGAATTGAGAAAGCGAGACCGGAGAAGGAAGTTCTAATGGAACCCCAAGAACATCCTCCCAAGAGGGCAAAGAGGAAGCGCAAGAGGGACGAGCTACCAGGAATAGATATTGGAGAGAGGCATGTGAAGCGTGGATGGACTACACCAGCGAAGGATATTGCGAAGAGCAAGGATAAGAAGGCACTCAAAGCAATCAAATCTAAATATACCACTGGCCCCGAATGCCTCTTCAAAACGAACCTTCCACCCAACGTCGCTTCGAAAACCCAATCTGCCGAGGTGAAGGCTGACAAGAAGAAAAGGAAGAAGGCTGGGAAGGAAACTGTTGTCCATGAATTCGCCAAAACCACTAAATATGCAACCTTTCTGCGCAGCGGTAGTGGATCCAGCAAGCCAAAGGTAGCTGCAGAATATGTCAAAGGCAAAGGCTGGGTCGATGAAGAGGGTAATTTAGTTGAAGAGGCCACCACGAAGAAGAAACGGAAGACGAAAGAGCCTACACCAGAACCTCCAGCCGAAGCCAGTGAGTCTGAGGATAGTGGGGATGAGGAGACTGCAGAAACGGAGGCAGATAAGGTGGAGGCCAATCCAATTTTACGAGAAGATCCAAAAAGCGATGCTGCCGCTTCAGATAGTGAAGACGAAGAGACTGTATTAGCAGAGGCGGCAGATCCGATGGACGTCGAGCCGACGCTGCCAGATCCGGAAGATGCGAAGGGAGCCTCAACGTCAGGCAGCTCAGACGACGATAGCTCCTCTGAGGAAGAAGCAGAAGATCAAGAAGTCTCTCAAGCTGCAAAAGATAATTCTAACTCATCCGACTTCTCATCATCTGATTCCGAATCAGAATCATCCGAGGAAGAATCCGAAGTCGAAGAACCTCAATCTGCAGTCAGCAATCGATCTCACGCGTCAACCAGCCTATCATTGAGCATCAAGATTCCCAATTCGAATAACTCCACCCCTATAAATACCTCAGTCCATCCTCTCGAAGCTCTCTACAAACGACCAAAAGCAGATGGCGCAAGCTCTTCTAAGGCAGCTCCTCTATCATTCAGCTTCTTTGGAGCAGATGGCGAAGAAGAAAACGAAGACGACTCCTTCAACCAAGTTCCTCTTACGCCGTTTACGCAGAAGGACTTTGAGTACCGAGGAATTCGCAGTGCAGCACCTACACCTGATACAGCACATCCAAACAAGAGATTCATCTGGCCAACAGACAACGATGACGAGGACGACAACGAAGTTGGACCAAGCTCTCCCATCCGGAAGCCTGAGAGTTCGGGCACAAAGGATGAGAAGGACGGTGAACAAGAGAGCGAGTTTCAGAAATGGTTCTGGGAGAATAGGGGCAACGTCGATCGATCATGGAAAGCAAGGCGGAGAGCAGTGGCCAAGGAAAAGCGACAGCGGGAAAACAGAAAGCGGCAAGATCGTGCCGTTTGAGGCATAATACTCTCCCAAAGAGTCTGCAAATATGATCATGTTATGATAAGATACCCATTACAATTGTCTTTTGCCAAGTCCGCCAAACTTTCTCTCCGCAGCACGATTGAAATCCACAGATTTTGGGTACCGAGCAGCAATGTTCCCACCTTGAGGACCACCAACTTAGCATCTTGTCACGTTAGAAGCAGCAAGTGCAACAAAAGAGATCGTAGTTCGAGGTCAATTTGATTCCTTGCGTGGACCATGTTTATTCTGTCGAATTTGAATTCAATTCATTGCTTTATTTCCACTTCTATCCTAACTTTGTCATACCCAGGAGATTCCGAGCCTCCCAGTATGTTATCCAAGACCTCGCGCCTTTCCAACACCCCTCCAAATTGCAACCTCCTCTTGATAATTGCTATATTGTGCGCTTGGATGAGCACCAGTAACAGAAACCCCTCGATGATCATCGTCGGCGTATTTGCAATCAGCTGACCTGTCTCTGACCAACGCAATGCAGTCGCAATCAAAAGCACCAAAGCCACAACAGCCTGAGCGCAAACAATGACATACCACTTCGAGGTAGCCATCACGAACCACCTGCTAATCCGATAGCTCAACCTCTTCTCACCCTTCATGCTCTCAGAGCAATCCACTCTTGGGGTCGGCAAAGCAAGTAGTGAATACACCTCCAGGTCCTGCTCTTCCAGCGTTCGTATTTGCTCATCCAGAATGGTGTTCTGTCGGTACCCAACATTTCGTAGGATAAAAGCATCCACAAACCCCACCAGCCCCGTCCAAGTACCGATGATGAGCCACCAATTCGCATTATAATGAAGGGTATGTCCTATTCCTAGCCATACACCAAACACGACTATCGAGCACGCTGCACCGAAACCACCTCCTACGAGAAAGGCATACTCATCTATCCTCCGCTCCACAAAATTCCTCTCCGGTGGCTCGATAATGATCGTCTGGTGCGGCATTGTATCTCCAGTGAAAGATCTGAGGCGATCTTCAAGATCGTAATCGGCCTCCTCGGTAGACTTCAAAGTCTTGTCCAGCGAAAGTCCGTGTCTGCGTCGGACATGTTGTAAGAACATGCTGGTTAGTGTCAATTCAATTGCGACACCTGTGTTCATATACAACTGCCACAGATCGCTGAAATCGAGCATCGCGCCGAGAGCAAGCCAGGCCACGACTCCGGCTGCATACAGGATCAAAGTTGGCAGCGAGCCAACAGCTATGGCGACTCCATCACACATGATATCGAACCACTTTTTCAAGAATGGCCCTTCATGTTCCAAGTCGTCCACTTTCCTACTGTTTCTCAAAATAGGCCGTTTTCCAGCTCCAAAAACTTCTTGTCGTTGACTGGGAGTCAGGCTCCTCAACATTCGGACCAGACTTCGATTCCTGGATCTCAGCTCCCCTATCGTATTCAGGAGATCTCTGAATCCGTTTTGCTGCTGGCGCATAAGTAGTGTGTCGGAAACATAACATTGGATTGAGGAGGCGTCCTGCATGACAATTTGCCATGTTTCCGTCGTCCCTAGAACACCTCCTAGGATCGCCCATATCAAAAGAAGCGCAATTGTTGAAATAAAGACGAAATATGAACCAGCGATATTTGTGATCGAGTTCAAGATATTGAACTTTCGGATTTTTTGCTTTAGGCTTGGATGTGAATGAGTCTCGGGTAGAGCAGGAACAGTCTGTGGAGGTGTCGAGGAGGATGAGATCAATTCGGTCTGGAGAGTTGAAGATGATGCGCTTGAATCGTTCCTGAGAGATTGCGTTGGTGACATTTCGATTGCTTCATTTTGAGAGACATTTTCAGTGCTTTCAATTAGTCGCATTCTGGTTGTTGCTGTTATTTCCAGTCGTGGATGGAGTGGTGGCGAGGAAGCTCGCTTCCATTTTTGGCAAACCCATCTCGATGTTGACTCCATGATCTCCTCAAATTTGTCGAACAAATGAATGTTAATCAGATCCTCGATGAAAGGATAGAATCCCTACTTGGGCGCGATCTAATAATCAATGAAATGATGAATGATGAACAATCCAATAAAAAAGTAACCCAAAACACATCCAGCCTTCAACCACTAAAGTAATCGGATCTCAAGATAGGTGTTCACCACCACAAAACGACACAACGAAGAAATCTCAAGGTTATAATCAGATTTGATGATACACATGCCTACCAGCACTACGTCTTCATCGTATCGTATCAATCGGGACTTTACCCCTTTCACATTACCTTTTCCGCCCCTATTGTGCTGTGGACAAATGAGCATCGTCCAGTTTGTCATCGCCCCTGTGGCTTGTTCCGGCTGCGTTTTAGGGCCCCGAGGTCCAGGGATTGAGGCTCACTCCGTTCATCCTAAGCTTATTTCAGGTAGTACGCTTGGACGGGGTGTGTTTGGGGCTTCGGATGAGAAGGAGTTGAATCGGTGGTGTGGTGTTTGTGGTGAAGGGGGCGGCACATTTGGGATGCATATTCTACCGAGGGGCTGGGCTTGATATGTTTCAAAAAGTAATATTTTAAAGTACCAGAAAGATGGGGACATTCATCAGAAGAAACCTGAGTATCTGATTGATACTATTTAGGGTAGGACCCGATTCCGAGAACGTGTTCAATGTCCCCACTTTGCAGGGACAAATGAGATGTCTCGCTTAACCCATCAGTCGTGCTTTTCTATATTACAGTCCAAAATCCTCGCAGCCTTGAATCCACTCTAACATATCGCATCATTTGCTCCTACTCCCGTCGACCCAGTTCGAATGTCCTTGATCTTGAGATTCATTCATCGCCGAGTTTCGCAAAGATCTCTCGGTATGCGCCTTCCTGTCTAGAAGATCATGTCAGCTGACGTCCGCTGTATTACACTTAGCGGGAGAACTACTTACGTTTGATCAAGATTCTTTACACGGCTCGCATGTGGGTTCCTGCCAGTCATGTCAATTACGCTCTGCGTTTGCTCTTTCCGAAATAAACTTACATCTGGTCGACCGCCTCCTTATCGTGCTCTCCACTCTTTATGGCCTTTGTAGCCTTGATGACATCGCCCAGCGAGCGGCCGTGATGCTCGGTGAAGTGTTCTTTAACGACACCAATCGCACCACT